CACGCCGTATCCCATACCGAATGCGTCAAGTGCTGTGTAAGTTTAGCCGTCATACTTGTATTGTCTGCTACAACGCGCATGCCCTGTGTTTGACGTATAATGACAACCATCCTGTAAATCCTTAGTATTTCTTATCATGTTTGAATGCCGCTCAGCTGTCCTCATACGTGCATCCACTTGAAAAAAATTGCCGCTTTGCCATAGCAATCGTGTTCGACCGAACGTCCTTCTAATGATCGGAGCTATCCAACCACTCTGAGATACGCCACTGACAAACATGAAGAAGTTGTAGGATAACTCTTATTCGTCATAGATAAGAATGGGAATTTAGGGCAGTGAAATTTATAGGTGTGATTGGTCCATGCAAATTCTTTCACATCTGCGCCATGCTGAACGCTTCATGCGTTTGAGCCGATCGGCATGACATATTTTTCGGCTCTTTTCTATCGATGGCGAAAGTACTGAACATCGCATCGTCTTTTCCATGTATTCTTCCCTCACTCATTCTGACATTGCCTCAATATCAGGGAATGACATCATGCCAACGTCCTAGATTGCTTGCTAAGTGCAAGTGCGATTTCATGTAGAAGTCAATGGTTCCCACCACACCACTTATTCTACTTCATTTTTGTTTGTTTATGACACCCCAGCCCGCCAAATAGCTTTTGCGCAGCCCAAATAATCATATGAAACCGGCTGGACCCGCCTTTCGAATGCTTTTGGAGAACTACACGTCCCAGCAGTGCGGTGCAGTTTTTTCTTCCACGAAATCTATACGCTGCCATTACATGGTGTTGTTCAATACAAGTACACCGGCGCCGAACAAACAATCGTCTTTCAGCGATAATAGCAGCTAATGACGGCTGCGTGCTGGACGCTGCACGTTCGCGTCATCAGCTGCGATATCGCTTACTCAGTCCTCGGACTGGCCAGAATCGAACCTAGGGCTACCCGGATCTGAGTGTCATTCGCACGGAGCTTGTCCAAGTTACCACCAAGGTACGAGATCTGTGCCAAGAAGGACCATCATTTCCTATATTTTACGTTTTGCATGGAGAGTCAACTAGAAAGGGAAAGATAACAGTGCATCCATTGCTTTCATTGCTTATGTCGTTTTCGACAATCGTGTATGGCGTTTGATTGCACAAATTTTGGGAGACAATCATGAGATCAATTCCTTTGTCAGATATCTGTTCAAATTCCAGTAGAGTGCTGTAATACAAATTGACGGACAAAGAGTAATCATACTTGATGCCATCACTTGAGTGCTTTGAACGGTTGAAATGAATTTATCAAATTGTCCAGTAATTGCAGCCTGCATTTTATAAGCATTTGATCTTCGACTATCAAATACAAGATTAGAAATGACACGATTCTATATGTACGCGACCACTGCACACCTCTCTAACAGCTTGCAACATTTATGTGCCTATAAAACGCTAAGTAGATATTGGGGGTCCAGCCGGCAATGATGCCCGAGAATGCCCTTGACATACGTCCCATATTTCTTCCCCTCTATATGCTGCAAGCCCTGTGGAATTGTGAGGGGGACCACGCGCGGGTAGGGTCAACATGAGCGATCAGCGACTGCAGGGATGCGCGGACTGAACTCGTCCTTCACACCTTTTGCGCACACATAGCTACTATGGTCAAGAATCTATGTTTGCCAAGCAAATAGGACGACACAGTCCAAATCTGGGTGATCTTTGTTCGAAAAGTAGCCAAAGCAGAGCTTTAAGAAAATTTCTACTCTTCTGCTCAGCGACTTTTGAGGCTGTCATGGCTTAGACTTTCCTTGACGTGCTTAGCCTATGCGCTAAATTTGACCTATGTTGTATTGTTCACATAGTAAACTCAACGCTCTACGCAATCCAACCAGTTCGACCACACTGTTACCCGCCGTTACCCGCCGCAGGGCCGTTTTCTTAGCAATTGCTCTTCCAGTTCTCCACCGCATGCAAGTGACGATTTCATCGAAGCGCCTGTCTTCTTTTATGACATGGACTACGACCTCAAAGATTTAAATGTGGGTTGGAACTTCGAAATGTATCCATCCTAAGGAAACAAATTCTTATAGACCGCCCTCAAAGGAGCTGAGTTCCTTCAAGACTCCGGCTACCAGTCAGTGCTGGAACGATCTGCTCATCCGTTCTCAGCCAGTATCGTCGAGGATATCATCAGTGAAACTAGCGATGCTGCCAACGACGAGGACTGGGGTAAGCGGTCACCTCATCCTCCGCATCACGCTTTTCGAAGTTACTGGTTTCAGTCCATGATTTGCAACATTCCCATTGTTTTTGTAGCTTTGCCTTTCCTTTCATTCTGTGCTAATAGCCTAAAGTTGGTCAGTGGTTCATTTTGGAATCAATCAGCGAATGATTCTGTTTTGTCGCGAAAGGTGTAAGAAGGCTTTGTCCGGTCTTGCTTAGAGCTTCCGACTCGTTGCATGATGTTCAGCATAGACAGCTTGTATTGAGTGTCGGGGCTAGTCCATGCCGGATAGGCGTCTGCTATGCAGCAATTATAAAGAGTTCTTCGTAATTGCGCTGCGGCGACAGCGTTTTTACTAGCTAGGCACTTAATAGAATCTGCGAGAACGAAAACATCCCCACTTCATATTATTTCACCTAATTGGGCGGAGAGGTTGATTAGCATTTGAAGTTGCGTGCATGCTTTTTGCAAACCAGATATATGCGAGAAATTGTGAGTCTTACAGTGTATCTGGCAAGCGAATCCTCAAAGAAATAGCCTGTTTCGTTCTAATTGGGTGCAATAGGGTGCTAAGACAGAATGATGCACCTTTGTCACTGACCTCATACTTTTGATACCCAGTCGTCCCAAACGTCTAGAATGCTCTAGTACTACCGAAATTTTACACAGATTTCTGTCCATCGAGAAGCTATGGCCTGCACTTTGCTCCGTTGGCGGAGAGGTGCTCCTAAAATGGCTAGTTTTCGAACTTCTGTTTCTGCCTTCAGATGGCTTCCTAACGGTCGGAGAGGATCGGGTCCGAATCAAAGACATGTCAGATATTCTAGCCTCTCGCTACGCGTTTCTCACTGGTAGGTAGAGTTTTTTGCAACAGCACCTACAGCATGGTGGGTCAATAAATAATTACCGAGAATATCCTCGACATACAAATGAGAATACGACGCACTTGAAAAACTGTCGTACACTCCGTGTATATAGATTCGTTAGTCTGTACATATTTAGGGGCTCGAACGAACGAGGGCATGTCGATCGTGACGTTCCCGGACTCACGAACTGTATTGTCATTCGAGGACTATCAAACACTCATAACCTACTTACTACAAGTCCCACCGTGAGATCACTGGGCTAATTTCAAAGCATAGGCGTGTTGGCCAGATCGAGTTCAGTGGTAAACAAATTTTTCAGATTAGAAGACAGCCATAAAGGTTTTGTGGTCATTGTAGACCGACGCAACGATAAATGGTCTTCTGTCAGGACACTTTTTTTGCAAATAACGGTAAGAGTTCTATATCGAACCCTCATTTCTTTGCACTTGGCACCTCTCGCCTCCATTAAAGAAAATCCAAATGCGTCATGCTGGCGGAAGTGGAAGGTTACGAAGAATTTCTTTGCTCATTGTCGATAGTCTATAACACTAAAGTTTGACGTCACACTTAGTGTCTTGCGCCAAACCGCTGCAAAGATCTTGTCGTAACCTTATACATTAAGATGTCCTTACGTTGTATTAACTAGCAATACTTGTATTGAAAACGACATAGCGTCGATGAAGTATGGCAACACTGAGAGTGAAGTATGGCGACAAGGTCAACAAGAGGCGCTGTAGGGAGGCAAAGCTTGACTAGGTTTCAACTCTTAATGCTAGTTACCCACAAGGGATCTTCATTATATAAGCTGTAAGCTGGCGTGCGTGCACTTTTAATAAATGTGAGATCTCTCCCAGCGGTGCACATGTGCGCCATACAAGACATGCATGTAAACAGAATTACTCAGTCGATCCATAAGCTCTTTCTTCTCCGACAGATTTCGTAGATGAAAAGAAGTGTTGCAAATGAAATTTTTCAGTCGTTTTTCCCTGGAACAATTCGAGTGTTGTTCCTGTTGAAGCCGGAGGGAGTTCTGCAGCGAGCGCTGGAAGTAGGATATCGCGCCATCTCTGAAAACTGCTCCTTCAAGGTACTTTCACCTGTAAATGGGCAGTGCAGATTAAGCACTTCCAGGTGATTACTTGCGACTCTTCGGTCGAATTGCGGCGCTTTCTAAGGGCGGAGCAGCTGACCATGGATATCGGTGGTTTGATAAAGTACAATCACCTGGAGTGGGTGCAGCATAGGATGGTAAGCTAGACTGCAGCATACAGTCTGAGTTCTTGCAGTTCCTCTGTTTATGAGGCACTCGATCGGATCATTCGTCGAGCGCTGTAAAAAGCTCCGTCAGGTTCCTGCCTCTCTTGCTGCGGAGAGACGGCGAGGAGTGCAGCGCAAAGTTCAGGCTAGAATGGAGTTTGAAAGCTAACGCGCGCTTGTTCAGGATATCGAGCGCATGAAGTCCTCTGCATCAGCTATCGCCCAGTCTTTGAGTGATTTTGGACGTGTTCTGCGTGAGACGGAACTGCCAAACGATGTCGAGACTACTGCAAGGATATTACAGATTCAGACGGCTGAAAGAGACGCCATAAAGGTATGCAAGTTCTCAGCTGCGTATATTTGAAGGGGACAGTCTGAAGAGCGGCGGTGTTTGTTAGGAGGACTTTCGAATATCCGTGCGAAAGGGATTGTCGCTGCTGCGCGCTGTGCGTCAGATCGAGTCGAAACCCAAACACGAACTCCTCAGTCCAACCAGGTTACACAACGTGACGGCTATCGAGCGCATGCTCGTCCAGCTAGGTTTGTTTCCAGATTCATTCGTGCGCTCTTCTGTTCGTGTAAATTATTTCCTCGTACACGAAAACACCATCGTATTTGCAAGCGAGCGGCATATGTATGTAGGATCAATGCATTTTTGGATTTTAG